GAATAAGAACTAGGGGCATTTTAATGCGTAAATAATATGTGTATATATATATATATATATATATATAACCATGGATAAATAACATTAAGTTATTCTATTAAAATCCAAGACTAAAAGATAAAATAACTAAAAATCCACACAATCTAAAATTATTTTAAAAGAGAATCCAGCATTTTGAGAAATTTGCAGCTCTAATCAAAGTTTCGTCATTTCAGCTTCTTCGTGAGAGTTCGTGATTCTCATATTCTGATACTGATTATTTGGTATACTCTATTATCTTCATTTGTTTTGTTTTTTACAGTTAAGTTTATTTTTCAGTTAGTTTTTATTATTTTGTTTTTAGATGACTCATGTTGATGTTTTTTTCGTTTGTAGAACACTAAAATGAGAGAAAACGTTTAAGTCTTATTTCAGAACGTCATCAAGATTTCTGGCAGATAAAAATTTGTTTGGCTTTTGGAATGACACTGAAACATGAAAATTATTTAACAACAGCTGTTTTAATGTTCCTAGAATTTTTTGAGTATGCTAAAGATATCTGAAGTAGCTTAAAAGAAAAAGTTGTAAAAAATAAAATACAACAGTCTTAAGTTTTAGTGGTGATAATGCACAGCAGACGTTTCGGACCTAAATAATAAACAACATTCCTAAAAAAAAGTTAAACTAGATTTGTTTCTCCTCATAATTATCGTATTTATTCAAACTTTGATACTTATAAAATATAGCTTACATACTATCTATCAGTTTTTGTTTCAATAATTGGTGCTTTGTTCAAATAAAAAAGTATTAAATTATGAAATAAGGTCCTCTTGTTAACAAAGCGAGAACATACAAAATATTTTCATGAATGATAGTATTATACTATTTACAATGCTTAGGCTTTGTTTAGTTGTTGTTAAGCGCAAAGCTACACAATACGTTATACGTGCTCTGCAAACTGCAGACATTGAAACCCAATTTTTAACGTTATAAGCCCCCTGACGTACCGCTGAGCCACCAGAAAGGGAGGGGTGTCTTAGGCTATATACTAAGATTTGTCATGATATTTACCAGAAAATTGTAGTTTTATTTTCACTTTAGAAAACGTGCTATTTTAAAAAGGCTTGTTATTAGACATAAAGGCTTTCAATTAGACCCAGCCAAGTTAGTGTTTATATTAGATTTATCAGAGTAATAGAAATATGTAATGTACCAAGTGAATCACAAATTAACTAACACTATTTTATGCGTTTTTGACGTGTTTCAACGTTTTTTTAAACACAAAACTACACAATGAGCTATCTGCACTGTGTCCACCTCGGGGAATCAATACCCGGAGTTTTGCTTTGTAAATGCATAACTTATCGGATACCCGCCGGGGGGGGGGGACGTGTTTCAGCTTCATGGACAGAATTACGGCTATGTGGCGTGAAGATGACGAGTGTATTGGAAACAGAGAGATTGACAATGTAGCTTCCTGTTGCAAGAGAAAATAGATTAATTTTGTAATTGTTCTATTTGTTCTTTAAAATTTATCGCAAGTAATAAGATACTTTTGTCTCACCCTGTACAGTCTGTGCAAGCCAATCGTAACGCTTATGTACAGACAAGTTGTAATACTTACGCGAATAGTACGCGTTCAAGATATATCGCCTTTGTTTTCTAAAAAAGTTAAAAAAAATAGGAATATTTTTTAACTTTCAAAATGGTTGTCTGTTCTTAAACGTTTTGATGCCACACTATGAAACATTCTCAAAAATGTTTCATGCTCTGTAAGTTCATATCAGTCGCCGAAAATCTTTTGTTTTTCTCTAGTACATTACTTGCCAACCTTAGAAGACAAGGGCTTGATAAGCGAATGAGACTAAGTGACTAAGAACTAGCAAAAACTTAGTTCTCTTCCAGTATTTTAACAATTAATGAAAGTGTCACATATAAAAGTGTTCTACACGGCTATGAACGACCAAAGGCAACCATATTTGTACGAAAGTCCTGTAAATAAGTTTATTAATATTAAGTTTATTAACTGCCTAATCGACATCATGTAACACAGTTTATAGGAAGAACAAATACTATACTAAAGGTATTTTTTATTACATGATGTGAGAAGGAAGCTCGATGAAAAATGTTTGAAAAAACGAAAATATGAAAAAATATAATGTCATAGTTATTAGGTACTAATACGAGTTTTTAAAGTCTCACCTCCGTGTTTTCGTTTTACTGACTCGAGCTGAGTGTAAGCACAAGCACTTCTACCTCGTGTCGGACTGGACGTGTCTGAAGGTGTGACGTAGGCTGTCACGTGAGTTACTTGCCACGAAGAGCTCATGTACTCTTTGTTTGAGCTACACCACATAAAATAGAAAGTCAATTATATTCTCGAAATATAAGAATCAAATATATTATAGAATTGAAATTGAACCTTAAAGTACGTTGCATTACGTAAAAAAATCAAACAATATATCTTATGGAGTAATAAAATAAACACTTAATATTTACTTCGCTAATATTAGTGGTTTATTGATTAAGAAACAATTTTCATGACATGAACACACACACACACACACACACATATATATATATATATATATTTGTGTTAATAAATTATATTTTTGGAAAGAAACTTTGGATATGTAAGTAAAAAAAAAAAAAACATTTGAGTTTCATAATCATTCAATGTGTTCAAATTAACTTACTTTTATGCTTAAAATCGGGTTCCCAATGCAAAAACTTACTAAAACGTAAAGGTAGTAAAGATATGTGTGATATGACACCTCTGACAAAAGGCATATCCTATTATGTATATTTCAAAATTCCAATTTTTCTAGTTGTTGCCACACCTTGAAAGTTGAAAACAGAAGAATACATACATAACTTCTATGGAAGAAAAAGGGGATATCTTCTTCGAATGTTTCAGAAATAAATTATTTTATTCCACGGTTATCTTTTCTATTGAAATTCAAACACATTCTCCAACCCGACTTTCTTTTGATTTGAAATGTATATAAAATTACTATAAACACAAAGGACAAGAGTTAAGGGCCCAAAACGGCCCCACCGGGGAAGTTTTTGAAAATAGTAATAAAACAAGCCCTTTTGCCAAAATGCATTTTTCACATGAGTTTCATTTTCCAAATGTAGGCCATTATGAATTTAATGGAGCCATAAACTTGGCTATGTCCTAAAGTCAGAGTTAGAATAATGACTTCTTAGATTTGATGGTGTATGAAGATTTTTCATTGTTTTGTGCTTGTTTTGATCCTAAGAAACCAAATAATATTGTTACGACAGCGGAAGTCACGTGACTCTGGTAATACGTCATTAGATTCTCGAAGGATCTTGACTTTTCCTGGCAACTCTAGTCTGTTCTAGGCGCCCTCTTTTTGAGTATACAAGCCCGGCAACTAAAGCGGAGATATAATTGCAGATAGATAGAGAGATTGAAGATAGAGATAATCGAGTCAAGCGAGCAGCAGACACCGTAAGTAAAGTGTGTGAATCGCTGTGAATTATAACGTGTGTTTATAAAAGTAGTTAAGTTTAAAGTGACTGTGGAAATTAAGTGTATTACAAAGTTTGTAACGAGAAATAATAAACTAGTTTTAATTAAGAAAGGACTTGTATCGCTGAAGTTTCTCGGAAAGAATTTTTATGAGAAATCATCAAACAAGCAGATACGTAACAATATGATAAGTATAACCTTCAAGTGAGTTTAGTTAAGATTTGTCTGGGAAAAATACAACTTGTAATGAAAATCAGGTAAAAACAGTATAAAACGACCAATGGTGTGACAAAAGAAACTTTCTTAAAATAATCCTAGGCGTTTACTTGATAAATGGAACTAATCTGAAGTAAAGTGACAGGACTCCCGGATCTTTTCTATGTCATGACCCCTCAAAAATACAATGGATCTTGATAACATACCTTACAATTTCTACTACCTTGGGAAAACGATTTAAAGATCTATGAATAACAAATAATGAGACAAAGCACATGATCTCTTGAAGGTCACCCACGAAGAAGTGTTATTGCTGAAAACGAGTTTTAATTTTTACTCCAGTAAAGAAGTCTCAATTTTCTTATGTATTAGGTCAATTTATACATTTTCAAAGCCGATAAATCCTCCAAACATAATAATAAAATTTAGAAATTATCACTCATTAAGAAAAACGGAATAAGATGAGGGTTGTTTCAATTTATATTGATCTTGTTTGTTTTAATTAATTCATTAGAAACCTTTTTTTTTTTATTCTGACTATAGGCTACGCCCACGTTTATGATGTTATACATCCAAAATGGCCAACATTCGAAAAATGAAACCGAGGTGAAAATTAATTTCGGTTTAAGGTTTATTTTGATACTATTTTCATGACTGGCCATTAAATCACCTTGTCCTTTTTACTCTAAAATATATGTTTCCTAATTTTTCTTCTGTTTACATATACATTTTTTCTATTATTACTTCAGTTCTACGGTAAAAAGCACTTAAATTGGTAAATAAAGTAAGGATTTAACCTATTGAACGTAGGAAAGATCGCGTTTGATTACAGATAAATATTTACCTTGTTACTATTGGATATATTACTGCGGATTTGAAACAGGAATCAACATGGCTTCAAAGTTGATATTTTAACCGACAAGTTTAGTAGCCGAAGATAGCTTTCTTTAAAGGGTTAGAACCGTTATTTTTAAACAGCTTGAGTTCGAAATCTTATTTCAGACCAGATTTCAAACCAGAGTCATCTACACTTCACATTTGATATTTTAACTGCCATATTTACTAGTCAAAGATAGTTTTCTTTAAACAGCTTGAGTTCGAAATATCCTTTTAAAATATCTTAACACTTATTGTCTCTAAGACAGTTTTCTTTACAAAGACATAATATACTATTCTGTGAAACATAGCATTTTGTACAAGTAAGCATCCAATATTATCATCAAACATAACCGTACTTATCCCTAAGCCACCGGTGGTTCAGTGGTAAGTCAATGGGCTTTATAACTCTAAAAATAGTGGTTCGATACCTGTGATGGGCAGAGTAACGCAAGGTATTACCACCTAATAGGATTTTTGTTTCAAACATGAAATATTACAACCTAATACAGCAGTATTTTTCTTTAAACGTGTATGAAATATTATTATCTAACACAGCGACTCTCTTCTTTATGTCTCCAACAAGTGTACTCTAGCAAAGCAGAATCATTGTTAAGTATACACATATTATTATTCTTTATTTGAAGGACTGCGAGTCGAAGGTCCAAAGTTCGAGCAGCGATATGCTGCTGAGTGGGCTCCGCAATTTCAACTGTGGAGATGCAATAACTGTATCATTCAGTACAGCTATTCGATTAAGAGTGGTAACTTAGGCAGAAAGTGCTGCTGATAGGTTGCCCTCCCAAGAGTCGGCCATGCCTGAATCTTGGAACCTCTGACTTGTCTATTTATTCAACGTGTCGCATAAAGTGCTGTTTAGGTAAAAAAAAAAAAAAAGTTGACGCTTATTCATAAGCTTATTTTCTACCATAACTTATCGAAATTTATCATTTTTGTTTGTTGAATTTCGCGCGAAACTACTCGAAAGATTTCTGCGATAGACATCCTTAAATTAAATGTTATAGACTACAGGTTTCTTTGTTTGTTGCTAAGCACAAAGCTAGACAATGGGCTATCTGTTCTATACCCACTAAGAGTATCGAAACCCGTTTTAGCGTTACAAGCCCTCAGTGTTACCGCTGAGTCAGTAGGGGCGTAAACTAGAGAAAAGACAGCTATTCAACGCCATTCTCTCCCAATCTTGAGCTACACCAATCGTATAGTGAGATTGATAGTCACATTATAACGACCATACGACTGAATTTGTATCTAGTATTTATTATATACATACATACTTCTACTTTTTACACACAGCTTTACTAAAACCGGTACACATCGTTTATATTTAACGTGTAAGAATCAGTCTGGCTTATTCTATTGGTACAATAACAGGAACTTCTCGTTCGATTTTTTGTAAAGTAAAAACACAAGAATAATCCACATTACTTTTATTATTTTCAGTTGTTTTTCATCGAGTTCAAAAGAATCATAACTTTATCGGCAATACCGGTTGCATACAAATTTGAATTGAGTACTAGGTGACGATCCAAGGTGTTGTACCTCTACCGACAGGCGGTTACCCTTGATGTGTAGGGTGGCTGCCTTGCATAAAGTAGAAAAGAACTCGTTTAGTGACGTTACCAGTGACCTTCTAGCTGTATATTATTAAACTTCCATATTTTGCTTTTACTAGCTACACCATACTGTACTTTGTTGTCTGAATGTTGGTGAAAACTTTCTATGATTATCGTTTTCGCCTTACTTGTGCAGAGGAGATTGATATCCTGCAATTTAATTGGGCTGGATTTGATAAAGGGGCTTCCCTTGCGAGGTTGTCAGCTTTCTCGCTTGGCTTTACTCCGTGCATGGACTGACGCAAACGTCCAGGAGATGGTCTTACTATAAAGTTTGTTTGTTTGTTTTGAATTTCGCGCAAAGCTACACGAGGGCTATCTGCGCTAGCCGTCCCTAATTTAGCAGTGTAGGACTAGAGGGAAGGCAGCTAGTCATCACCACCCACCGCTAACTCTTGGGCTACTCTTTTACCAACGAATAGTGAGATTGACCGTCACTTTATAACGCCACCACGGCTGAAAGGGCGAGAATGTTTGGTGTGAGGGGGATACGAACCCGCGACCCGCAGATTGCATTTTTATCAACAACCTTTTTTTTTTTTACTTTACCTCATGCATTGTTCACGTTTACATCTTTTTACATTATGTAGTAGCATTATAAAACAAATCCTTCAATAATCCTTTATGCTCTAACACAAACATTTCATCGAACCATATAACTGAAATATTATCGCCACCAGGGAGTAATGTAATACATGTGTAGCATTGTAAACTATGGAATTATAATCATTAAATAACTGTGGTAGCCAAATGCTTACGTTTCAAAAAATTAATACATGTTGAATTCTAAATATGAACAATTGCGTTAAAAACAAATTGGGGGAAATATATATATTCTCTACATCTTATCCAAAACATTTTAAAAATATTAACTCAGACTGTTAATTACAACATTTAATATAGAACGATTAGTAGCCATTAAAGGAACACTAATCTACTTAATACATCCTCTGGATATATATATTGTTACGAAAGCGGAGGTCACGTGACCCTGGTAACACGTGATAAGTGTCTAGAAGGTTCATGAAGAGGCGAGTGAATTCTAGACGCCCTCTATTCTTGTATATAAGCGCGGCAAATAAAGCGAGATAATTAATTGGATAGCAGACAGAGAGAG